TTCTTGAAAAGTCTACTGCTTTTCTTCCATATCAAAAATATGAGTTTTTTAAACATTTTTAAAGATTTTCCATATAGATTTTCGAATTTTTTATCATAAAAAAAACGTCTTAAAATTTTTTTAACACCTACAGTTTTGTAGAGCTCAACGAGCTCTTTCGAACTATGTAAAAATATCCAAGAAAAAACTTTACTTCGTTTTTATATTTTTGGCACTTTAATTTTTCACCACAATAAAAGTATAAAATTTCTGAAAATTTTTGAACTTCAACATTAAGAATTATTCCTAAGCTTCACTATTTAATATCAACAAACTCCATTTTTGACGGGCTTTCATTTGATGTAAAATCAATTATATCGTCTGTTTGAAATTATAGTTTTATCATCCTGGAATAATGTTATTTCCAACCCTGCAGTATGCATGTTTTTCAAAGCTCCATATCTTAGAGAGATTCTATTCAAAATTTCTGAAATCTTTTATGCAAGCTAGGCTAGCTGAGGTCTTTATGCAGATAAAGTTTCAGCTTAAAATTCAAAACTATAGCTGTGCTGCCAATATAGGTGTACTCTAAAGAAAATTCACTAGGAGTTCGATATCGTCTCAGAAACAAGCCAGAAACCTGAACTTTTTTTTACCATAGACACAGTTCACTATGGACTACGAGATGCGTAAAACCCCGACTAAAAAGCGCTCTGACACCTGAAAATGTTCCCTTGCCAGTATAAGATGATGGAACCTATATAAAGACTAAGAATAATAGAAAACCAATTGCTCATTTTAGAAATGAACTTAAAAGTCAAGCAGTCAAAAGTTTTAGATAAATAATCTAATAAATCATCTCAATCAGAACATACCACTCAAGACAGATAAACTAAAAAGTACTAGTCATTAACTAAATGAATGAAAACATGAACATTGAAGAATTATTTTTGACGCAATACGAATTCATTTCCGAGTATTTATCTCTACACCATTACAAAAATCTTTTATCAGCACTGAAACCAAAAATACTCGTTCAAGATGGTATTATAAAAACCTGGTTTTGTGCATCCATAATTACAAGCCTCAATCTTCAATCTATCTCAATCATTTTTCAATAGACGCACCATCTTGCTACTAGCGTACGTATGTAATATTCAAAAAAAAATTTCTATTAACTGTCGACTGTTCCAAACTAATTTTCTTACCACGATTAAATAAGCAACCACTGAATATTCTGATTAAATTTAGTTTAGTTTTGCTTGTTACACAGTGGGCTTTTTTTTCAAATGATTAATCTCTCACTTTACCAACATGATAACACTATCTGTTTCATTTCTTTCTGCTTCATATTTGTTTTTTGAATTCTTTTTAGATAAGCACTCTGTTGATTAAAACCACACAACAACAGTCAACCACAGACTAGAGGATGACTGATACAAAAGAAAAAAGCCTATTCAGGACGTGGGTGTGGATTTTGGTGATTGCAAGAGAAGAAGAAACACCCACACGCACACTCAAATCTAATAAAATATTGTTCAAAAAAAGTTTTAAATAATTGAAAATTGAACAGTAAATACTAGTAATTGTGATATGATTCCATGTTTTTTCTTTGCTTTGTCAAGACATTTTTTTTGAAATATGAATGGAATGCATTAGGTTCAACGATTAAGAAATCAAAAGCTTTGTCATCTACTTTTCTATCTTCATCTGTGGTTTATTAAAATAAAATGCAAACTTATTATTGCGAAAAAATTCATATATAAGATACAATCCAATACAGTATCGTAAAGAGTATTTGACGATGTAGGCAAAAATAAGGTTATTTAGACTCATCATTTTATTCAGAATAAACAATTTAATGTCTAGAATCAACTATGTTGAGTGCATAAGCAAATCTTCCACTAACGAGAGTACATGTTTCCCATGTGCCATCGAGTTTGTTGTTAAGCCACCGGGTGTGTGCTTTTGTTGCACGACACGCGGGTTTGTGAGTGTATATCTCCATTCATACCCATCCACATCCACACTCCACACTCTGTCATATGAGACGGATTTTTCTTATGGTATTTATATATCTTTGGTGATATACCATATATGGGATTTTTCTGTACATACTTCATGAGAAATATATTTCTCTGGTACAAGATGAATAGTTGAATAAATAAGTGCAACTACACTCGACACTTACATTTGTAAAAGAACACAAAAAGAGAAATCATTTTTCATTTTTTCTGTTCAATCGTTGGTGTCGTTATCATCAAAGTGGCGTCGCGAATGACGTTTTCACAAAGCTATCATTGCAGCAAATCATCTTCCTGCATAACATTGTCAAAATGCATTAATTCATATAAAATTTCAATTCTTACGAATGCAATAATCTATAACTCGATCAATCTTATTGATTAGAAACAACAATTCTAGTTCAAAGCAATCACAAATGTGAAATTGAGAGCACCTTTTTGAAAAACATTGCTGTTCATTAGCTTTTCTTTTTTATTGTCGTGATGAACGGTGTGGGTGTCTAGAAAATATGGCACCACACCCACAGTCATAGTCGCACCTCACACTCACACCCACATACCAAGATAGGTCAATGAACTCCGAATAATTTCCTATAGGGTGTTGGTGGGTGTGTAAATGCGAAGTATGGGTCTCAATCTCAGGTCATTCAAAATTCGTATCCACGTCGATTGACAAATGTCCATACTTATACTCTACAGACGTGAAGAAGTTCTTGTATCTTATTTCTTCTAGCTTCTGCGAAAAACAGAATTCAATAAAATCATCAATTATATAGAGATGGTTATTCTTTCCAACTTTCGTCTTTCACTCATTATTCTTTCAGATTTTGCTCTTCATTGTCTTCATTCAAAGAATGAATAGAACAAGCAACATAATTGCATTAAAATTTTGCTGAAGTAATAATCGAATATAAACTTCTACATGTATCTTAAATATACGATATTTATGGCTAAGATATGAAGAAAATAAAAATGAAATGCATACTTTGTATGAAACTTTCTATAATATATATGTACAGGGTGGGTCAAAGTCACGTTACCGAGAAAAAATTGAGTATCTTCATTACGACTGGATCGAACGAGTTCATTTTTTTTATTATCAAGGATAGAGACATATTCACATTACAAATCCATACAGACAAGGATCAGTGACATCCCTTGTCAAAAATAACTATTGATCTCGATAAGAAAAATTTGCCTTTTTACAGGAAGAAAAAAAAGCAATACACAGAATGGTGCAAAAGTCACTTTATCGAAAACAAAACTGAATGTCCGTATTACGGCTCGAGCAAACGAGCAGATCTTTTTACCAAGGATAGAGGCATATTCACACTCAAGATTAGTGAGAACCTTTGTTAAGTATATTATTTTCTTTTCCTATCTGTGAAAAAGTAACATTTTCTTGTTGAGGTCAATAGTGATACTTAACAAAGTTTCACACTAATCTTGAGTGTGAATATGCCTCTATCCTTGGTAAAAAAATGAGCTCGTTTGGTCGAACCGTAATGGAGATACTCAATTGTTTCTGGGTAAAGTGACTTTTGATCCACTCTGTATATCGTGCTGGAATACCGTAGTGCCCTAAAAACTTGGTGATTTTATGGATTCACACTAAACGCTTACGAACATATGACAGTAGGTGATACTGTTAAAGATTAAACTGAAAATTTCGCCCTTGAAATAGGCATCTTGTAAAAAGTGAACTATAGTCTGTTTAAAAAGTCTGTGCGTGTGACTGTTTTTTGAATAACTCGAGAAAGCAAACAGCTAGAGACCTGCGGTTTTCACTAATCGAAAGAGGAGGAGTTAGAGCGTCTTGTTCTTTGATAATGTGTCAGACGAAATTCTTTTAAATCTGATCATCTTTGAAAAACATAGAAAAGAATGCATGAAAGTGGCATACAATACACATGAAATTTCGATTATGACCTTTGATTTAGATAGAGGGACTTCAGATCTATAGTTCAAGATGCAACGCAAATAGCTCGCTAATTTTGTTCTAATGTTGATCAAATGAAATCATGTATTTACATGCGCAAATAATAGGGAATTTTGCGGATGTTTTACTACGTTTTTGTATTTTTTGTCAAAACAGCTGGATACTTCGATGAAAATGTAATGAAACGTAAGAAAGTGTATTATGTTTTGAACTATAGATCTGAAGTTCCTCTATCTAAATCAAAGGTCATAATCGAAACTTCATGTGTATTGTATGCCACTTTCATGCATTCTTTTCTATGTTTTTCAAAGATGATCAGTTTTAAAAGAATTTCGTCTGACACATTATCAAAGAACAAGACGCTCTAACTCCTCCTCTTTCGATTAGTGAAAACTGCAGGTCTCTAGCGGTTTGCTTTCTCGAGTTATTCAAAAAACAGTCACAGGCACCGACTTTTTAAACAGATTATAATTTTATTCCTTTTTGTTGCACAACAAATATTACTTTAGTAGAAGAAATGATAGAAGATGAATCCAGAACATAAACGGCCTCTTAGTCATTGGCAATTTTGCAAGAGAAATTAAAATCTTCCTGAATTTTAATTTCTCCTATGATATATGTATGATAGAACATAGTGAATGACAGAGATATTCTTTAATAGTCCGATAATAAAATAGAAAGACACAGTGCGCCAGGGAAAGAAGGAGAGAGAGAGGACGAATCTGTTACTGTAACCGAAAGAGAAAAATAACGACTGCATCTTTGTCTATCTGTGTGTGCGTCAGTGAGAGAGAAGAGGAGAACGAATGTGTATGTCTGTAAAGAGAGAGAGAGAATGAGAGAGGAGAACGAATTTATATGCCTGTAAAGAAAAAGAAGGGAAGCATGCTTTCGATGAATGACCCTAAGTCACAAATTTTATATTATGATAGAAATTTGTGTCATCGTCATTACCTTTTTTTATGTTGCTGTCGCAGAAGAAATAAAAATTCAGAGAAATTTTAAATTGTCCTAAGAGAAATTAATTCCTTTCAAGGACAATTTTTTTCGCAAGTTATATGATACAAAATTCGATGTAAGACACATTTTTACTTAGGAAAAATATAAATCTTGTTTTAGGAAGAAAAATTGAAAGAATTATATTCTGATGCTGCAAATCGTTATTTCATGTATAATAAAAGCGAAGGTCATGTTACAACGAATTCCAAAAATGAGTTAAATATAAGTATAATGCAAATAAGATTACTTGATACATTCTTTCAGTATATGAAGAATATCAATGGACATCAAGATGTATCACTTGGTAATGTTAAAGTTCAATTACTTGATAATGTTCAAGATTAATCACTTAGTGTTAAAAAAACTCAAAAATCTACTGTTAATCAACTTGAACATGATGTTGGTACAGATAATAATATGAAAGAGTAAAATTATATATTATTTCTAATAAAATAATAATTTTTTTAATTTCAGTGTTGATGAAGATCAATCTAGTACTGAAACAATCTTGTATTGTCCAAAATGTAACAGTAATATTGAAGAACAAGTTCCTGAAGATAATCAATCTGGTGTTCAAACAAAATCAAAATTGTATTTTTGTTACGAATGTGAATATGTGATCGAAGTCGATGATTAAATAACACGAGTCGATATACACATCTATTTTCTGTTGA